ATGGTTAAGTGAACGAAAAGCAGGGCCAAGCTGCAGGTGGAAGTTCGAGCACTCAAGGAATTCCCTTCCCTGTTTGGAAATGTTAAACACGACCTCATAGGTACACTGTATCCGGGAGATAGATGTGTCGTAATTTCGTACTTGGCACAGCTCAGGAAGTGGTTTTCGTGAGCGAAAAGATTCGCCGTTTGCATTCGAAACCTAATGGCATTCAAGTCATTAGGCTGAAGCCTGATGATGTCGCGTACAACTAGGAAGGAGCAGAAATTTTCAAGACCGCCACCACGCGCGCGCGTCACTGAGTCCGCAATTACGAATTCTCTCATCGTGGAATAAACAGTGTGGAAACCTCCCACCTTCATCTGACCCTGATGCTAAGACAGTATGTACAACAGGATGGTTGAGACTCTTGTAGAGCAATTCCAATGGAAACATACAAATTCATTTAGTTGACTTTTTCTTCTTACGTGAAGCCTTCTTGCTGCTGTCGTCCTTCTCAAACGCGGCGCACATTTCATCTGGTAGACTGAACGTGCTTTCCATATAAGCAAAAAGCTCTTCGGGATAAAGTTTTTTCACCTAGAGTAATATTGCATACAACACAATTTCAGTTATGTTTTCTCCAATACAGCTGTTTTTCGTCGCCTATCAATGGGTAAAACAGTAGTTTCTTTTTACTGCTGTACCTTGTTTTTCCGCTAAGATTCATTGTGGTGTGGTTCCGACGCGAGCGGGTCTTCCTTATGTATTTTTGGCCTGCGAAAGAAATACAGTCTACGTGACTGAGGACGGGATACCTCTTTAGAGGAAGCCTCTGCGCATCAGATGAACATGGGGCGTCCTTTTGAAAACTCGAAACAGACTTCCTCATGAAGGTGACAAGGAGGTAATCAAAACTGTTCTCAACCAACGATTCCTAGCTTTCACAGTGTCAAAAGAAGTCAAAGGAAGTACAGAAGAAGTCCCATAAGTATCCTAACCAAGTGGGGATCCTGTCATTGACGGAAATATATGAGCTGAGACTTCTCTGTCGATGCAAACTTATCCTACCCCGTCAGAACGAACAACCCAATAGAAGATTTCAACTTTTCCACATTCTTTGCTCAACAATGGTAGAAAAACCGCGCATATCATTTTCTATAGACAAGCTGAGCTCCCTATTGATCTCCAATATGAACCGCCTTGATCCGAAATACAGCCGATTTTGAGTTGTAACAACCAACTGCTTTAAAGAAAGAAAACAACTAGAATGAACATTTGACTTACTTGTTCGTACGGCATGAGATCGAGGATCACTTCATCATTTGAATGCTGTTCACGCTTCGACTGCCTGAAGGACATGACGATATCAAATAATAACGGATATCGAAAAATTATAGTCTTCGCCGTGGACCAACCCCTTTTTGGGATGCGGATGCATTTAATTCCATTCAGAGACGTAGCGTAATAGGTACAAGCCAGCGGTCTTATCCTCCCACACGATACCGATTTCCAGATGGAGGGCTTGTTTAGCTTGGGCGGCGCCTATCAGTTGACCCTTGGACCGCCCACGTGGTAAACGCGCCACTTGCCACTACACTACCTCGCCCCTCACCAAATATGAATACACTGATCTAATCTTGTAACCGTATTGAAACGCACCTTTTGATCACCAAATCCATCTCTTTGATACAGGTTTTCTGTAAATTTTCCGGACTATGCAACGGTCCCAACACCTCGACAGTCCATAACTGGTATATCAATCGAGCAGTCCAGCATCCATATCCTGTTCGTATACCCACGTTGGCCTAAAACAACCAATAACACAGGGATGTTGAAGCCACAAGAGAACTCTTAAAGATAACTTACTCCCAATCCACCAAATACTCCATCTTGTTTTTCCCCTCCATCTTTCGAGCCTTCAAAATGCGTTTAATTTCGTACTTTTCGCCGCTCATTTTTCTGCAAACTTGACTATAGCTACAGAAAGTACAACATCACAAGCATTCGAATATGTTCAGCGAAAGAAGATAATGAAGAAAGCAAGAAATATGTACTGGGGAACTACCCGTACAATAAAACTATGAAGGAATCATTTATTAAGGGAATTTCTTCTGGAATGTAAGTAAGATATGGAACAATTCAAAAACATCAATGTCACAAATTCAAAAAGACATGTACCTAACAAAAAAAAGGGCAAAAATAGATACAGGTGGAGAAATCAAGTAATAGGACCAGTAAACGAGGGCAAGAAACTTCAGTTATGAAGGACAGAGTAGCTCAAAAAGGCCACTAAGTTTTCTCGAAGAAAGACAGTAGCAGTTAGTAGGAATGTATCCTGAAGTTAATTAGGGAGTAAGTAGACCTGGCCTTTGTGGCGAACTTCCCTCACCCGTCGAACGTGTCGCAAACAAGGTAATGCTGTACGGAAAAGCGTTTTGGAACGATCTTTCATGAGAGGCTTTACATCAGCTTCCTGACAGAACAGTTGACCAGCAATTGGAGCAGGCTCCTGGAAAAGTGAAACAGTAAATTGTCCAACGAAGATGAACCGGAAGACAAAACTCTAAGATTGAGAGCGCAGTTCGGCAACGGGGGCAGGGGGGGCATCTGCACTTT